ACACACATACACACCCTTACTAGCACCACTGCAGCTTCAGAAGCACGCAGTAAATGCGCAGCATGCATCCTATGGTGAATGCGGGCATGACACATTACGATAAACATTGAGCATCAAGCTACTGCCAACACTCAGAAAGCTGCTGAAACAGCTTTCTGTTTTAATTAGGAATTCAGAATAAGAATGACCGTGTTTCAGCCTGACCGTGTTTCAGCCTGACCGTGTGTGGGCCTGAGAGCATGGGCCTGACCGCGTGTGGGCCTGAGAGCATGGGCCTGACCGCGTGTCTGGTTTCAGCCGCCCTGCTCTGCGACCTCGGAGCCCCGCTCTGCTAAAAGCACAACATTCAGTTCAATTAGCGCCCTGAATTATTGATGCCCGTCTGGAAGAGTATTTGTATTTACACTGAAATTAAAAGCCTCCGGTGTCAGTTATCGGGCTTGAGGGACGGAGAAACACACAGGAGGGGAGAGAGAAAGATTTTCTTTTCGTGTTGCCCCCCCCCCCCCACGCCAGTCTACAACTAAAATGTTTCATGACCAGAAGGTCAAATTTGGATATTCCCACTAATAAGGTTCTGTTGAGGCTGGTCTTTGGGGACCCACATTTCACGGCAGGAGAGGAATAAAGACCATTTAATATGACCAACTTATCTGTCAGGCTGGTTATGGCATTAATAACATCTTCATTCCGGAATCCAGGGCCTTCACCAGCCCACCTGACCTGGAGGTACTTCAGGGTAAAACGCTCCGTAACGCTGGATGCGAGATGGACGGGAATGAGGCTGTGTGCCTTTGCTCCTCCCTGCTCCTCAAGTGCTCACCCTGTGCTCCTTTACTCTCTGAGCAGCCTCCTCCTTCCTCATCCTCTTCCTCTCCCTCCATTTGACTGCTTCTCTCCTGACCAAGCATTTGTAGAGAAGCTGTCCTCGGACCCAGACAGCAAATTGTCCCGGTGAAATGCAGAATCATCCAAATCCGTATCTGTTCTCTTTCATTAACATAACATCTAAGATTAGATGTAGATTTTTTTTTAAGCTGGGAATCCCATAGTGTATCCCAGTATACCCATTACTCACCTTTTGATTCTCAAACACCTTCTTAAAGACACCTAAACTTTTTTTCTTTAATGCATCTTTCTGGCACTTTTTTTCCCAGTCGTATTGTTTGACACCCTCCTCATTACTCCCATTTGACCTGCGGCCGATGACAGGAAAGTATTATTTACCTACTAACAGAAATACCCTTATCTCTTTTGCCTAATTTGTTCACATGGCACGTGGTGCGGTGCCCCTTAAAGTCCGTCTTCTTTGACGATATTCAAACTCAAGGCGGGCGACGAGGGCGGGGGGTTGTGCGCGCGATCTGTTAGTTGTCTCCGACAGCAGCCGCAGAACCGAGGAAGAAGATTCAACGGGAAGAGGTCGCGGCCATTCTGCCGGGCAAGTTTCCAGCGTCAGCTTTTCAGAGGTACTCAGCGTGTCTGGCAAATCCCTTATTAGCGCTGAACAATTCAAAATGTATATCGAAACATATTTCATTACAATAACCATAGGTGCTGGCAGGCATTTTCATCAAGTAACCGTTGTAATTATATGTAATATAAAGTGATAACCTTGAGTACTTTAATTGTCTAGTGTATAAAATAAACTTATCTATGTTTTGAAAAATTAAGTGATATCTCTCGGCGATAATTAGGCCTATTATTAGGAATAGGCCTATTAAATCTAATGTTTAAATTGCATCATGTTATAATAAATCTAAAGCCAATATAAACAAGTTTTTATGCGAGATTTTTTTTTTGGATGTGTATGGAATTTATTTACATGAAGTAGGTGTGACGGATCCCACTGACCGAATATATAAAAAAAGTTATAAATTAATCATCTTTTATATGGATTATATTTGTTGTTTTTTTCAGTCATTTAACCCGTCCATTATTACTTTCATTCAATGAAAAATGTTTTCATTCGAAATAAAAAGTTATTTAAAGATTCTGTAAAATATATTTTTTGCCTACATTTAATATATTTCATAATTTAAAACTTAATTGTTATAATCCAAATAATCTAAAACACAATTTAGTCGAATATATGTCATGCTGATAGATAGCTGAACACTTTCAGAAAATGTAAAAGACTTTTTCGTGTTTTGCCATAAAGATCTTAATTTCACAGTAGTCAGTAGGATTTACAAAATTAAACTACAATTTTTTTACCCATAGTGGTCTCCGTTTATATCGTGTGTTTATTAGATATTAGCATCATCTGCGTTATTTGTTTCCCAAAAGGACGCCTTTAATGGCCCAGGTGTGACATCCGACAGAAAAATCCGACTTGTCAGAGTATCGAGATTCGCTTTTCTGATCGTATTATTATATTTTTAAATACAACATAACGAACATAGACTATTTTATTAAACGGTAACATTATTTTATCAGGTTTAGGCAATGTATAACGGATACCATGTGATGTAGCGGTCATTTCTTCACAAATTTACAAGAAACCGCTTTAATAAACTCCAGACAATATCTAATTTCCGTCTGGCTTCACTAAACACGATACAAATTACTGAAAGTCATTAGATAATTAATGTTGTCTCACCTAAAACTGTACTCCCTAACAATTTTATTACAGAGATGGTTGCGTCAAATTTTTATCTGTATTGGAAGAAAATTTTATTGATATATTGATGTAATGAACATGAATTAATTTCAGTAATTAGCACTATGCACGCGTTTAACTTACAATAGGCTACTCTTTTGTGCGCGCCAACTTTTCGCCAAATAGCGGTAAATGGCATTTTATACTAATTAACCGTGTATTCATTTGTCATTTGGGCCCTTCTTCCTTTTATGCACTTCTGCTTAATCGATAAACATTTTTTTCTAAATGTTATAACGGGACGTTCATTCTACGACCCGAAGCAGCAGACTTTGGGATGGTAGATGTCCTTCATTGGTTAAGCAGTCTGATCACACACAAAGTAATGAGAATGGTCGTGAACCGCGATGCTATGTTTATGATGACGATGATAATGATGACGACGATCTTTTTCCACAGATGCAGTGCACATGTAACGCTCCTTTAGGACCAGTCACCACTCCTTACTGGACCAGAAGTAAATTTTAAAATCCTTCACTTTATACGTATAATGTCAGGGGAATTATACCCATGATATATTAATGCAGCCTTTACATATACTATGGCTATTTTATTTCAGTTTTATTGTGGCATTTATACCGTAATCATTTGTCATTATTATCGTGTGTCTGTTCGCTGACTGCTATTATTATAGCATAGGCTACCCCTGTCTGTCTGTCTGCCTGCCTGCCTGTCTGCCCGTCTGCCTGCCTGTCTGTCTGTCTGTCTGCCTGCCTGTCTGTCTGCCTGTGTCCTGTCAGTAGCCCTTGATACTTTCTTCATGTGTTTGCAGGTACTAATTGTTAATAGCCATGAGGACGTGTGTGTGTGTGCGTGTGCATGTATGTATGTGTGTGTGTGCGCGTGCGTGCGTGTGTGTGTGTGTGTGTGTGTGTGTGCCCTTACAGAACATGAGCCCCAGTACCTGCCCCCCCTTGACCCGGCTTCCTGCTCTGAGCTGCAGTCACTGTCTCCCCAGCAGTGCTGTTCCCAGACTGGGCCTACAAGCCGGCGTGGTCCCCCGGGTCCCGGCAGGTGCAGCTGTGGCACTTCCTGTTGGAGCTGCTGGGACGCGGGGAGGGCGGAGCCATCGACTGGGGCCGGGAGTGGGGGGAGTTCGTGATCCGCGACCCCGAGCGACTCGCACGGCTCTGGGGCGAGAGGAAGGGAAAGCCACACATGAACTATGACAAGCTGAGCAGGGCGCTGAGGTGAGGCTGCAGTGTGTGCAAATACACACAGACACACACACACAGACAGACACACACACACACAGACACACACACATACAGACACATACACACACACATACACACAGACACACACACACAGACACACACACAGACAGACACAGACACACACATACAGACACACAGACACACACACACAGACACACACACATACAGACACTCATGCACACACACATATAGACACACACACACATACAGACAGACACTCATGCACAGACAGACACACACACATATAGACACTCACGTACACACACACAGATGCATTGAAAGCTGAATATTTATTTACTTGTGACAAATTATGGGACAGTAACTAGGGCTGGACTGGCCATGTGGCATACTTGGCATTTTCTTGGTAGACCAATGGCGTTTTGGACTGGTGAAATTCATGGTGGGGACCCCCCACGGTGTAGGTATGGTGGGCATCCATGGGGACAAGTCCAGCACTGACGTTTAATTCCAGTCCAGCACTGACAAACAAGCAATTAGCACACAGAAGAGCGATCAAGAGAGAATGAGAAATACTGTAAAAGAGGAAGAAGATTATTTATTATTTTTTAAATCTGGATTTTTGTTCTTCACACAGCCATATTGTGCCAATAAAGTTTAATTTGAATTTGACTGCAATTCTAAATTTCTCATTTTCTTTCCAAAGTTGTTATTGTGGATGGGAACAGTCTTGTGGTAAAATACATAACTAAGTGAACACATGAAGAAGAATGAATGCGATGTGTGTGCCCATTGTATCCTGCAGGTATTACTACAATAAGAGCATCCTGCATAAGACCAAAGGGAAAAGATTTACCTACAAGTTCAACTTCAGCAAACTGATACTTGTGAACTACCCTGGATACCCGTCTTGCCACGTGCCGACCAGCCAGGTCAGAGGGCGCTTCTCACTCCTCTTTCTGCAGGTTCACTCCATCACCTGCTCCCCATGTATTTCTAAGGACCCTGTGGGCGTGGCCAGCGAATGACGTAATGCAGGAACAGACTGCTGATTGGTCCTAATATAAAAAAAGAAGTTAACTGGAAGAGTGGCTTGCTGGGAAAATATTAATATTAATAATGCTTGCCACTGGATGATGACCATCCATGCTGCTATGAAACAATGCAACTGCCAAACAATATTTAATTTCTTTTCGTTGTCTTTTCTGTATTTAGTTTGTGCGTCTTAATGGCTCACGCGCTGCCCTCTCTCATCCTTCCCCTCCTTAGCCGGTTCAGAGCGCTGCAGTTCGGTTCCCTCTCTTTCCCTCTGAGGGGGGGGTGTCTCTCTCAGGGTGCGAGAGGCGGGAAATGCCGGACAGAGGTAAGGTCCTCACAGTAAATGGCTCAAACAGATAATATGATCTGCAAATATGCATTTTTAAATAGTCAGTGTTTAACAAGAAATTCGTTTTAATAAACTATTGTATTACTATGTATTATATCAATTTGCATCGAAAACAAGGGTCTACATTTTAGAAAATTGTATTTTGTTCTATATGACGCTATGTTGCATATTTGTGATTAAAATTTGGGTTTCTCTTTTGATTGACAGCTCTGCATTCCATTCCTCATCCGTATCTGCTGCCGTACTGTTTGCATAAGCCATTCCCGGGACAGCTGTCGTATCTGTCCATCCCGCCCACTCCAGGAACGAGCCTATCACAGTTCACAGGCTTCCCGTCCGTCAGTGCTGCAATGCACCTTTCGGCGGCTCTTAATGGGTGGCCGGCGTGCAATGCGTGGACCTATAGCGGCTGCAGTGCCGAGAAGGAGGGAGAGAGAGAGAGGGGGATGAGAAAAAAGGAAGCACTGGAAGGAGAAAAGCAGAGAAAGAAGGGAAATCAGGATTTGCTCTAGAAATCTTCAGTTTTTATGCTTGTACATATAATTTAATTGTCACTGTTTACTTGTTATTCCAGTTGTAAAGTTTAATTATATATAATTGTCATTGAAGTAGTACACTTACTGTCCTGTTTATTAAAATGCATTTTATATAAATTACTATATAAATACAAAATAGACTTTTGTGTACATTACTTATAATAGTGTGCTGCATTGTGTATATTAAAATTTTAAATTGCATAAACACTGTTTGGTGTAAAGTTCTGATTCTGGTTCAAAAAGAAGGAGATGGGTCCTCAATCATAATTGGTTAATGAGCCCGCGGTGGTTAATGGCGGTCTGCGCTTACGGCTGCGGGAAAATGCCTCGGGATCAGATCATGTTACCGCAGTGGACGAGAAGAGCAGATTCTATCGCTCCATCGCTGTGGGAAATGAGAGAGGATTCTGCCCGACTACTTGCTAAAAGCAATAAGTGAAGATTCTATCCCTTTACGTCTGGGGGGGACTAAGTGAAATTTATCCTCCTTCTTCTGGGAGGAAATGACTTAAGATTCTATCATACTATTTCTGGGGGGAAAATCTATTAGACTACAGCCAGGAGGAATGAAAGCATTCTGGGTGAAATGAGTGAAGACTCTCACTCTCCCCCGGAGGAGGAGGGCAAAGGAGATAACATTTTACTTCGGGAAGGATAAAGAGTAGGGCTGGCCAATCCGGCGGTGCAATGGTTACAAAAAGTGGTTTAAAAACAAATTTCTCATATACATAAACTACATTATACTGAAAGTCCCAGCTAGTGATAAAAAATAACAGCACCATTTATTTAACCATAAATAAAACATATATCTTTGCACACCCTGTGGCATATTAGAAAACAGCTCACCTTCCTGGTGCACATCCCCCCGAACGGCAGTAGGTGGCAGTATAGTGTAACTTTACGTAACACGTAAAAGGACCATTTCGGTTGCGCCATCGATGTTTACGGGTATGGCCGCTGCGCGAGGAAGATTGCTGTAAAACCGGTTTCGCAAATTACAGTTTTTTTTTTATCTTTTCTGCAATTTTATATGACTATATAAAATATATAAACATAAAATATAAAGAATACCCAGAAGACAACACGTGAAAATCAGAATTTAACGCTGTCTATGTCTGTTTTGTAATTTAATGTGCGGAGAATCGTGTGACCTCAAATAAACTAAGATCGGTATAGCTGGCTACGGGGTCAAGCTAAAAGACTGTAACGTAACATTTAAAATATATTTTTAATATCCCGGGGTGCTGCGTCTGCGCATACTGCCCTCTGCGTACTCACGGTGCCGCGCGGCATGTGACGTCACGTTGGCGCTTAATTTTCAGAACGAAGCGCGCGGAAAAGTAGTCGGACCTGCGCTCGGTGTAGTGAGAAAGGAGACATCACGGCGAGATCAAGAAGTACCTTATTCCGACAGCATGCAGCGAAGCATAGCGTAAGTACATGTATTGAATCTACAGCTTAATAAATGTCCTTGTTGCCTTCAGGAAATGTTTAGTGGTGCGAATTTCCTGTGCGTGTTCGGCTGGTAGGCGATCAGCTGAAGCCTGAGCGGTAACGACCTTGTCGTTTGCTGATTATTTTGCAGTCCGTTCATGCGTTACCGATTTAAAGCGTGCAATATAAAGCCACATGTGTTTTCCAGTTGCCTCGGCGCAGCTTTAACCTGAGCTCCTGTCCCTTTTGGTGTGCTGATGGATTGTGCTGTAATGCACGCTTGGTGGCTTTCCTGCGTGCGTATAGCCGCGAAGAGCAGTGACCCTGTGCTCTATCGGTGCGAACCGGCATAACTTCCCGGAGCTTTTGGTTACTTATGGTCAGGGGAGTGGGGAAGAGCAGAACCCCCCGCCCTGCCCCCAGAGAAATGATGCTTTCTCCCTTTTCGCATAGGTCTTTCTTTCAGCCGATGAAAGGGAAGGAGAAGGAGGGGAATAAAAGCGACGGAGTAGCCAAAAATAAGACTGAGTGAGTGCGGCTCACCTGTGCCTTGAAGTTATTGTAGGCTTGTAGGCTGTACAGAGGTAGCGATGCTACGAATGCTGACTGACAACGAATGGTCAACAGATGCTTCTGTATTTATAAAGAACTGTACATAGGCAATTGGTACACATGTAAGAACAAATCTGCCTCTTAGTTTTATAATATGTAATGTGTAACGTCTTTTCTGCTGTATATGCAAATTATTGAGGGTTATGTTTTGAACCAGGTTAAAGCGCAAATCTTCCTTTGCTTGTAGCTTTTTATCATTTCTTGAACACTTAAGGCAACACAGATACCTAGTGCTAACTCAGTTACTACTGAAGTACAAATTAAAAATGTAGTCACTACTTAAGGTGGGAGATGTGTCACGATTCATTAACGATGAACAAACGAGATCTGTATCTCACTTGTGTTATTAATTACTTCAGTAATTCACAAAGGTTTACAGAATTAACAGATATAGTAACAAGTATGGTAACTGCTTGGGATAAAACATACGTCACGATTCATTAATGATGAACAAATATGAGATCACTTTGTAACTAATAATTTGTGCTTTATTAATACATCAGTAATAGCTTGATACTATATTATTTGTCGCCTTAAGTGTTAACGTTCTTGCCTTATTAATTAAAATATGCCAAACTGCATGTGTTTCTCCATTTGTTGCCTTGCCTGCTCTGCCAGACCAGTCAAGTCACCCCTGAAGACTCAGAACGGAGTGGCAGAATGTGATTCGCCCGTGAAGAAGGTCAGCAAGCGCAGCCGGCGAATCAGAGACAGCGACGAGGAGGGAGAGGCGGGCACTAAGGAGGACGCGATCTCGCCGGCCCCCCTGCCCACCCCCGAAAAGGTGAGTCTGTAGACGTCAGCTGCTGACGTGTGAGATCTGCAGTTGGGATTAATTTGTTTGTGACATGAAGCTGGCCCTTGGCCATTTATATCTATAGCTACTTGCTGAGGACATCATGGGATGGCTGTTTGGCTCAAACACATGTCAATGTTATTTGATCAACTGGATATTTAAGAGGCACTGGGCATGACTGCAGCTTTTGGCTGCGGCCCCATGCGGGGCCCCTTGTATCCGGGAAATGCACATCCGACCCCATGTGCCAAGTCCGCCGTTAATCATCCCTGCCAGTCAAAAACGCAGATTCAGCCCCTCGATACATCCTTCGGTGACCCTTCTATAGTTTCGTCAGCCCTTGCTTTCTGTCCTTGGTTTATGACACACCTGCGCTTTTTTTCCCCCCGACCTCCAGGGGGCAGTAGTCAAGGCAGCTTCCACGGTCTCCTCGCCGGCTGCTGCAGATACTCCATCTACACCGAGTGCCCCAGCTTCCGCAGCTGCGGCAGTCACCCCGGCCTCCTCCATTTCTCCAGGAACTCCCTCCTCCATTTCTCCCTCTGGGATCCTCAAACGGAAGACCGGTCAGAATCGCTCTGTCACCCTGCCTCGTTCACGGACTTATCCCTGTCTCACGGCTCTCTGCAGATCCTGAGCTTCTTTAGATGTCTCTGTGCAGCGTCACTTTGGGCCCCCTTGGAGTCATGTGATGTGACACTAAAACTTCATTTCTTATTTCCAGGAGGTGCTTTTAGTGTTAGAACCAGAATTTCTTGGGTATCTTCTGTTTGAAATTGGCAAAATGTTACATTGTCAAAGCAAAGGGCCCTTTAACTGTTTAGCCAGATAATTATTCAATCGGCCGACTTAATTACTGTCCTTCTTTAGCGAGGAAGCAGTTTCCTAAGCGGAAGCTGGCGACTGATGTTTTCGGTGAGGAGGACCATGGTCCAGATGAACAGGAGGTGAAGAGGTCGCGCACAGAGGGACCCCCAGGCACTGGAGGTGAGAAAGCTGACATTTGGGGGGGGGGCTCCTCTTCTTGAGTGTTTTTCCTTTAGTTTCCATTCTAATTTTCTCCTCCTTTCCTCCCTCCTTCTCTCTGTCTGGGTGCCATGTTTCACCGTTTTAAAAAGAACCAGAAGAGATGGAAGTTGATAATAAGACTACAGAAGAAAGCAAGGAGCCGGAAGGAGAGAGGGTCACTGTGAAGGAGGAGGAGGAGGAGGAAGGGGAGCCGGAAGGAGAGAGGGCCACTGTGAAGGGGGAGGATGCGGAGGCCAAGGGAGAAAAGGAGCTGGGGGCGAGGAGTCCGGAGCAGGTGAAGGCCACAGAGAGGTCGGAGAAGCAGGAGGCGAAGGAGGGAGGCAAGACGCCGTCGGCCAAGAAGGCGACTATCAGCAGCTTCTTCAGTGAGTGGCCGCTGCCGCCAGACAGCCGCTGCGGAGCTAAACCACCGCTAATGATGATGTAATATCTGAACCCCGTCATCCCCAGCGCCCAGGAAGGCAGCGGCGAAGCTGCAGAAGGCCGAGGATGCTGGGAAGGAACGGTCAGACAAGCAGATGGGCGCGGCCGAGCCGGCAACAGGAGGGGGCGAGAGGTAGAGGAGGACGGCCTGTATCTGGGGTGCGGGGTCACCCGGCCCTCGGGGATGCGGCCTGCGTCTGGGGTGCGGGGTCACCCGGCCCTCGGGGATGCGGCCTGCGTCTGGGGTGCAGGGTCACCGGGCCTGCATCATCTTTAATTCCCCTTCTTCCACAGTGAGGAGGCCAAGCCTCTCAGCCAGACCGACTACAACCCGTCCAGGACCGGCTATCACCCCGTGCAGCATGCCTGCTGGAGCCGGGGTCAGAGGTCAGCCCCGCCCCCCGCCGCCGCCTCTCCCGGGCTCCCTGTCAGCGGGTCTCCAAAGATGGCTTCCTCTCTTTCAGGGTGCCGTACCTGGCCGTGGCCCGTACCTTTGAGAAGATAGAGGAGGAACAGGGCAGGTATGACTGTCAGGTGGCTCGCTGGGTGAGATGCTGCCTCGCGTTTGCGGAGAACCTTAATATTCATGCCGTCTCCGCACTCCTGTCCCAGGCTGAGGAACATCGAGACCCTGTCAAACCTTCTCCGCTCTGTGCTGGTTCTCTCTCCAGGTGATTTCGCTCTCTATCTGGTGTGTGTGTGTGTGTGTGTGTGTGTGTGTGTGTGTGTGAGGCAGAGAGACCGTGAGAGTCCGCTTGGTACGTGTCTGCTCTGAGGCTGCGGCCCTAACAATGCTGATGTAGTAACTCTGTTTGTCCAGACGACCTGCTCTGCTGCATCTACCTCTGTCTCAACCAGCTGGGCCCTGCCTACCTGGGGATGGAGCTGGGAGTCGGGGAGACGGTCCTGATGAAGGCTGTTGCCCAGGCAACCGGTAAAGGGATGCTCTGATCAGAGCCCGGCAGTGTTTAAACTTTTTTTCTTCTTCTTCTTAATCCCCCTCCTTCTTCCCCCGTAGCATTGGGTTTTAATTTCTGCCATCTGCTGCTTGTTGCCAGGGCGACAGTTGGACAAAATCAAGGCAGAGGCGCAGGAGAAAGGGGACCTGGGATTGGTGGCGGAGAGCTCCCGGAGCAACCAGAGAATGATGTTTGCCCCGGCCAATCTGACAGCGGCGGGCGTGTTCAGCCGGCTCAAGGACATCGCCAAGATGAGCGGCAACTCCGTGAGTGTCGAATTAATATGGGGACGGTGTCCCGGCCCCGCTAATGGAGACGGGGAGCACGGGTCTCTGGCCTGTACCGCAGTAACGGGGGCGTCTGTCAGAGCAGTGCTGTCGTGGTCTACATCAAGATCAGGCGTCGAATGAAGACGTAGCTTTGAGGCTAAAGCAGCATCTAGTGCAGCTTCCACGCTAGACTGACTTTGCGTGAATTGCGAAACACGTCTGAATTAGTTTAATCGCTTAGGTGTAAAATTACTTTTTGTTTATACTGAGACTGCCCCCCCCCCCCCACATTCAGTGCCGTGTCTCTTTTTCCCAACAGTCTATGAATAAGAAGACTGAGATAATCAAAGGTCTGTTTGTGGCTTGTAGGCACTCTGAGGCAAGATACATTGTGAGGTCAGTAACCTTCACCTGTGACTGGTTTCTGCGTCTGCATAAGCCGTTTCACATTAAAAGCCGCTCCTTTTAATAGTTTCTTGATCTCGTCAAAGTGAAAGTTCATGGTGGCGCGTTCACCAGCCTGATAGGGTTGTGGTGGTGATTTGATTGGGTGACGCGGGTCACGTGACGCACGGTTGGCTTGTGATTGGCAGGTCTTTGGCGGGAAAGCTGCGGATCGGGCTGGCGGAGCAGAGCGTGCTGGCGGCTCTGGCCCAAGCCGTGTGTCTGACTCCTCCGGGCCAAGGTCAGTCGGGGTCCTCGTGCCCGGGCCGCGCGCGGCGGGTTGTGTACTGCGGCGGGGCACCAAAGGCCGCCTCTCTGGTCTCGCTGTCCTGCTGTAACAGCCCCCCTGTCCCCCGCAGAATTCCCACCCCCGATAGTCGATGCCGGGAAGGCGATGACTCCCGAGAACAGACGGGCCTGGATTGAAGAGAAGGCTCTTATCGTCAAGCAGACGTACTGGTGAGGGGTGATGAGATGCAGATTAAACCAGCATTCATTACAATACTGATTAATTGGTATCATATTTATTAGTGCAGATCAATTATGGGGAAAGTGACGAAAGTCAGGTTAGAGAATCACTGGGGCCAGGCCGCCTGTACAGGGCATTATGGCATTTTATTATTAGTTGTGGAGTTTTTATCTTTTCGGATCGTTAATTTAATACACCTTTATGCTCTCGTTGCTGGCATGGTTTTAAGTCGACATAACGACATTAGTGCAGAAATTACATCATTTATTCCTGTTTCCGGCGCTTTTATGCGAAGCGGGTTGCGACTTTGTGTGCTTGCCGAGAGTCGAACCCGTGACCCGAATGTCAGCGCAGCTCTCTACTGGTGGAGCTGTAAGTTTGACGTCTCAGCTGACCTACTTTCGCAAGAGAGGATTTAAGTTTGTTGTGTGTCGCTGCTGTCGCTGTCAGTGAGATGCCCAACTATGACGCCATCATCCCAGTGCTGCTGAAGGAGGGGATTGACGAGCTGCCCAAACACTGCAAGCTCACGCCAGGTAGGT